AATTTTTTGTCATATTCTGTAGGGACTTAAAGTTTAACATATCAATACTTGATGAAAAATACCTGTTCCATGTTATGCCTAAGATGTTTGATATTCAAAGTCACCACCCAGGCCCAACCTCCCTTCTTCGAGGCTTCCTCGTTCTCTGCTGCACTCGTTCACTCCATGCCAAGCCTTATGGATAGTGAGGTTAAGCTCAACAGTCTAGGTTATATGGCAGTAACAATAAGCTTCTCTTCTGGAGGGTTAACAACCTAAATTTGCAGACCAAAAATTAGAGAAAAAGGAGGGCCGCAAGGAAGCCAGTATTTTGGCATTAGCCTTCCAAGGTCAATTAAGACTCAGGACATATGAGAACTTTATACTAAAAAACATTATACTAAGTGAGCCATAGAAGGATGAACATGATTCCCATTAGATGTGATGTCAGAGTAGTCAAAATTAAGAGATAAAAAGTGGCTGAAGGGAGAGGTAAATGGCAAGATTTGTTTAATAGTCATCGTTGTCCCATCCCTCCTGACTCCTTCCCTCCACTGGGGAATCCAGCCAAGATTCATGATGACCCCAGAGCTCTGGACCCTCTCCTGGGCACTGTCCTGAAAAGCTGTGTTCTGCTCACAGCCCAGCTCCTCACTCCAGAGAAGGGACTTGGTTGCTCATGGAATAGTGAGGAAGGAAATGGGACACATAGAGGCCTAGAGTGAGAGGCTGCTTCAGCAAGAAGCACACTTACCCACTAGAATGTCACACATGTACACACACACACACACACCACCACCACCACCACCACCACCATCACCACCACTACTACCACCATCATAGTGACTGAAATCTCAGTAATAGACATTTGATCCTTTGCACACAAATATCCAGTTGAAAATCCAGTCAAGATTCATGATGCTAGGGCCAGCAAGATATATCAGCAGACTAAGTGCCTGCTTAGGCAAGCACAGGGACCGGGATTCAATTCCCAGTACTGATGCCATGCTGGCCCCACCCCCAGGTGAACTGAGCTGGCCGCTGAGACCAGACATGCTGGCACATGCCGTAATCCCAGCACTGGAAAGCTTGAAAACAGCAGGTTCACTACAAGTCTGAGCTGCATAGTGAGACCCTGTATCAAATACATTAAAAAAAAAAAAAAAAAAGATTCATGATGCAAGAACAAGTTAAAAGCCAGGCATGGTGGTACATGCCTGTAATCCCAGCACTCAGGAGGCTGAGGCAGGAAGATCACTGTGAGCTTGAGGCCAGCCTGGGCTACATAGTGAGTCTGAGGCCAGCCTGAATTGCATAGTGAAACTATCTCATTATGCAATTATGCATAATGAAAAAGAAAATAAAAGGTTAAAAATCGAAGGAATTCCTAACAGTATTTATACAAAGAATTAATCTATACAAAGAATTAAAAGTCAGACCCCTTAACTCACACAAAGTTGGACTCAGGTCCTGGCTTGGCCATTTTCTGGCACTGGGATTCATAAGCAAGTCACTTCGCCTCATGGAACTTATTTCTGTCCATAAAGTGAGGACAGTGCATACCACCTGGGGTTATTTACAAATTAAATAAAACTTACATACAAGTTCACTGCCTAGTGAATATTAAGAGCTCAATACGTATTAAATGCTACTTATATTATTAGGCTAAAATGCAATACAACCTATCAAAAGCTTTCCAGGAGTATATTTCTACGCTTGAGGTTTTACTCTTGGGAAGTAGAAAAAAAAGTCCACAATGTATGTACATAGATGTTCACTGCAGTGATTTCTACAAACGCAAAACCAGCAATGGCAGATAGTGGATGAACCCCATGGAGGCTGCCAGAGCACCCATGTGGCTAGGAAAAGGAAAGCTGGGGCTCCGCGAAGGCCATCACAAAGACACAGAGCCCAGCAAGCACCAGCAAGTTGCATAATACACATGCGAGATCCTGTATTTACATACTCAGCGAAGGCATGGGCTTGTGGATGCCCAGGGAAAGGCCCGGAAAGCTACCCATACGGTTCCCTCTGCAGACTGAGGAGGGAGAAGGCTGTCCTTTCTTTAATTTTATACACTCCTACAGAGATTGAATTTTGTAGTTTTAATGAAGGATATGCATCACTTTCTAATTACAGAGAGAGACAGAAAAATGTGGAGAGGAGGGAGGGAAAGGAAGAGAGACAGAGAGACAGTTCTTCCTTGGACATTCCAAATAGGCTTTCCTGAGAAGGAAAAGTCACTGTCCCCTCTGCCAGAGTCACCCTCCTCCTCACACATAACAGCAGGCCATGGTCCTCGCTGCCTCAGGGTGTCACAGCACCAGCGTCAAAGTCACCACCCAGGCCCAACCTCCCTTCTTCGAGGCTTCCTCGTTCTCTGCTGCACTCGCTCACTCCATGCCAAGCCTTCCCCTGACCTGCCGGTCAGCTGTCTGCCTCACTCCAACCACAGTGTCCTCACCATGAGGATGGTGGTTGGTGTTTGTCCAGAGCCTGGGAGCCAACAAATGCCCAACGAATACCCACCTGCGCCCTCATAGCACGCATCCTCACCAGCCTGGGAGGAGTCACCAGTGGAAAGGGCTGTGACTTCTGACACTCCTGCCCTGCGCTATGTGCTCCAAGTGCCCAGGTGGAGTCAGACAGGTGATCTTTCTTTGAGTGTAGGAAGGACCCTCAGTGTGACACTCTCCAGAAAAGCTAAGAACTGGCATTGTCCACATGTCTTTCAATGGAAGACTGGCTTAAAGTTTATGTGACATCAAGTGGTGGGATACGATGCAACCAAAATAAAATGACACAATAAGAGGCAATGAAACATGAAAATATGTCCACAAAATATATGCATTTTTTAAATAGCTTGGGTATAGTTCAGTGACAGAATGCTTGCCTAGCTTATGTGAGGCCCTCGGCGCAGTCCCTGGCACTGAAGAGAAAAGGATAGTCATAGCTAAAACTTAACAACTTTATACCACTAGTCTAAAAACAAAGTAAAAAAAAAGCAGCGCAGGCTCTAGCATTTTATGCCTCTTTGTAAAATGACTGTCTGTGAGCGACTGCTGCAAGAGAGCTGGGAAAGGTGGAGTCAGACAGGTGATGTTTCTTTGTTTAAAAATATTTTTGAGAGGAAAGGAAAAACATCCAGAACCTGGAGGCAGGAACAGGAGCCAGTGCCAGCTGCCCACCCACACTGCAGGACCGGCTCCAAGGAGCCTGTGTTCTCAGCCTCTGTTCGCTGGAGCTCGAGGACGGGACAGGCCCTAACACAGCAATGATGTTTCTTTCAGGAATGGAAGTGTCCCAGTGAAGAGTATCCAGGGTAAGAAAGAAGAAAATGTAGAAGAGATGAGGTCAGAGATGCATCAGCCCCACTCACATACACAAAGCACCTTTGCAGGCAGGGATGAGGCATGCATTCCAACAATGGATTCTGGAAACACCACTTGTACCTGTAGGCAAACCCCCAACCAGGAGGGGTTACCGCTCCCTCTGTATGCACCCCTGCCTGGAGAACGCTCCCCAGATACAGCAGCCCCAACTCCAGAACCCTGCATGGCACCATCCTTTCCACAATGCCCCCTGGACACTGAGTGAGGCCAGCTGGACCCCAGCCCAACCCTGACTGCCCACACCATGGCTGAACATGGCCGACCTTCTCCACTGATGCACTGGATTGCAGCAATATTTTCCTCTGGGATTCCTTCTCTCTCAATTCAGCTTCTCTGTGAAATGACTGTTTGTCAAGAGACTTGTTTGATGAGTTGGTTCTGCCAGTGCTAAAAGATACCTGGAAAGAAAGCCAGGCCTCCCGGGTCACATAAGGGTGAGGGACAGAGAGCAGAGACAAATGACAAAAAGGGGCCACCCTATGATGCCCTCAGTAGATCCTACACCTTGTGGAAAGCCCAGCAGCGTATCTGGTATATGCAGGGCTTCAGACACTCTGAGGCTGGGGAATGCCCAATTTTCAGTGACAAACTATTTTGCCCTCTAGAAAAATGACTTCCTTTGCTTTTGCAAAAGACCCTTTCACAGAGGCAATCACCCTGGTTAAAAATGAGACCAGAGGGCCAGCAAGGTACCTCAGCAGTCTAAAGCGCTGGCTTAGGCAAGCTTAAGCAAGCACACAAGGACTACAGTTTGACCTCCTATACCACATGCTGCACCAGCCCCGCCCTCAGGGTGGGCTGAGCCAGCCACAAAAAAAAAAAAAAAAAAAAAAAAGGAAAGAAACCAGAGAGGCCAACCACTACTCAAGAAGTTGCAAAGGCAGTGGGATAACACTGATCCTCTGATGCTGGAGTGAGCATCTTGCAGTATTGTAAAGCATGAGTGCCTTACAGAGGGATTACTCCCAGCACATCATTCTGGAGCTGAGTCTACACTGCCCTATGCTTGCATGTGTTTGGAAAAGGTGTTTAGAACAGGAATCAGGGCTCAATTACAGAAACAGCTGGACCGTTCCTCCAACACCATACAAAGGACCCCTGGACTCATTGTTGGGGTACCCCTGCAGTTGTGAGGCAATAGTTCTTCCTGCTCCTTCTCCCTACCACTGAAAGAGACTTGTCAATCAGTCATTCTTGGTCATTGGCTCTCAGAAGAGCCAATCCTGGGGAACATCCCCAACAGGGCTCAAAGGAAGAGGATAAGGTTTGCTGCATCTTGGCATATGCCCTGTGGCCTGGGCTCCAAGGAAACTAGGCCTGCTTGGAGCCTCTGTGGTGCACTCCTTGGCCAGCACCTGTCACTCAAGCACGAGGACTAAAAAAAGCAGCGCAGGCTCTAGCATCTGCTTTTAGGTGTTCAGGGTTGCAGTCTCCTCAGGGATTATCTCTAAGTTTTCAGGCTCTGAGAGCCTGGTGTGGCAGTGCTCTGGGAAGTAGGGCTGTGTGTGTGAGGCAGTCAGCAGGTTAGACCCAATGGGACCACAACAGGGAGACACTCTGCCTTCCCACCTTGCTCAAAACCAGTGAGTGCATGGGAAAGCGCCTTCTCTAGACACCCTGGGAAAGCATACCAAACAAGCAAACAAGCACATACCAAAGATGGGCAGGTGGGGCTCTCTCACCTGGTAGGACAGAGGCCTCTCTGGCTCCTTGGCACCTGAGTGTCTCATCACCACAGGAGCTGACATCAGGGTCTGCCTCAGGCTGGCCCTGTCCACAGCCCTCCAGCCAGAGCAAGGGAGCTTCATGGAGGTCTTGTGTGCCCACCTCCTCTCCAGGCAGGTTTTTCTGGGCCTGCTGGCCATACATTCCTCCATTTCTCGCAGCTGTGCTGGGAAGAGAGCATCCCTGAAGGCACTGCAACACCTAGGGGAAAACTTGGGCCTCCCTAGGCCAATGCCAACAGCTCTGGGTCCTCCAGTTGCCTGAGGACTTGCTTTCCAAAAACCTCCCATCCTTCAGGCCTCCAGAGGAGAGCTTATAACCCATCCTTGTGCCAACCACTAATGCTTCAGTCATTAGAGCTTCTGTGAGGAACCCAGACTCCCCGTCTGTACAATGGACAGTGCTTTCCAAAGTTTTTTGTGACTGTTTCTAATCTGAGGGAAGTCACAAATGTAAAAGAAATAAAATGATGAGCTGTTCTTGGGAAGCCCCATCCACCGGGGTCCCTCAACTCTGCAGCTGCTTCCAAACACCTCTCTTAGCATGCCTGGAAAACCACTGCACAAGTTGACCCTTCAGGACCCTACCAGCTTTAGTACTGTGTGATATGGTAATTCCAAACTTGTACAGATTTTCAGAATTAGAGCAGAAATAACAGAATTAGAGACTCCAGGCTCTGGAATCGACTGCCTGAGTTTGGCTCTATACCCTCTTGGCTACCTCAGCTTTCTCATCTGCCAAGTGAATATAATCATAGAATCTTGGGGCCAGGGAGATGGCTCAGTAGTATAAGCGCTTCCCTGGCAAGTGCATGGGCCTGAGTTCAATCCCTAGTTCCACCAAAAAAAAAAAAGTGAATGAGCTGTACAGCAGTGTATCCTTCCCAATTTCCAAACACACAAATTTCAAATATTTCATCAGAAAAAAAAAATCATAGAATCTACCATCTGTCCTTGTGGCTCCCAGCTCCTCCAGAACACATCATTTGCCCTCCCTCCCCTTCCAGATCCTGACCCAAGCTGAGATAAAAAATGGAGTCGCTGTGACCATACCTTCACAGGCTGCAAGGGCAGGGGGCTCAAGGAGGCATTGAATTTCAAGATGGGCTTCAACATGTTGACGTTCCAGAAGAGAATGTCCCCATTGTAGGAGGAGGTCGCAAGGAACTGGTTCTGGTACTTGGCCATGCAGAGCACATCCTCCGTGTGGAAGGTCTGCCAGTGGTGGCACAAGAGCACTGGCTTGGCCTTGTGGAACCTGTGCATGTGACCAGAGACAAGAGGGCAAAGAGCGTAGTAGCCTTTAATGCATTTCTAAAAGAACCATGGCCCATCAGATGCTGCAAGCCAACGCAAGAGACAGTCTCAGGCATTAGAGCTAGTTTAAAGACCTGCCTCCCTTGACCTCATTTCCTAAACTCTGTGCCTGCTATAAAGGTTCTGGCCACACGATTCCAGAGTCTTAATCCTAATGTACTCCCATTCAGACACTTGAGTAAGGACTAGGGGAAAGGCAGAAGAAATCGCAGCCCCACAAAGGCCCTCTGAAAGGAAGGGCCTGGCATGTGGTGGTCCAACCTGTAACCTGCTCCTATCCCCAGTGCTTCCCAATGTTCCCCTTGCTCACCCTTCACATCCACCCACCAATGCTGTCTTGGCCAAGTCTTTCTGATGGTTCCCCAGATTAGATCAGGTTTCCATCCCCACCCCTTCTACTCTCTTATTGATAGCACTCCATATACTTTGTAAGTGAAATTGTTTGATTACTTGACACGACTGTGTTCTCCCTAAACTCCCTACAAACCTAATTCCCAGTGTGAGGGAATATGGAGGTGGGGCCTTTGGGAAGTGATTGAATCACACACACAGAGTCCTCATAAATGAGACCGGGGCCGTTATAAAAGGTACACAGGTGGCCCACACCTGTAATCCCGGGTCCTTGGATGAGGCACACACACTAGTGCCATTGCTTGAGAAAGACATCAATCCTGGGGGTGATAATCTAGCCCAGCCAGGCCAGGGACTGATGCTGGCACAGCCTGAAGCCTAAACAAATGTATTTTGCATATGAGGACAAAATTTGTAGAAACCAGAGGAGGAATGAATGGGAGACTTTCTTATTCTCCCAAAATTCATGTAATATAATCTATTTCCACCTCTGGAATATGTTGGCACACATCTATAATCCCAGCACCCAGGAAGCAAGCAGGAGGATCGCCTCAAGTAGGAGACCAACCTGAGCTAAATAGTATGTTAAAGGTTCAAGGCCAGCTTGAACTATATAACAAGACCCTGTCTCAAACAACAAACAACAAACAAAAACCAATCTCCCAATGTGAAGGTGCTGGTGGTAGAGTTTTTAGAAGATGATGAGGTCATAAGAGTGGAACCCCATGAATGGGATTAGTGCCCTTTTAAGAGGCTCCAGAGAGACCCTGCAGCCCTTCCATCAGGTAAGGTTATAACAAGAAGACAACTTTCAGACCGGAAGTGCAGCTTGGTGGTAAAGTGCTTGCCCAGCATGCTGGAGGCCTACATTCTATCACCAGCAGCACAAAAGCAGAAGTGGACGGAAAGAATGAAGGTTTCCATCCCCATCCCTTCTACTCTTTTGTTGCTAGCACTCCATATACTTTGTAAGTGAAATTGTTTGATTAGAACAATATATAGAAATCTATTAATCAGGAAGTGGGTCCTCACCAGACACCAAACCTGCTACTACCTTTATCTTGCCTCAAGAACTGTGCAAAACAAATTTCTGATGTTTATAAGCCACCTGGTCTATGGTCTTCTGTTACAGCAGCCTGAACTAAGGCATTCTGCCTCAGAGATATTCCAGAAGGATGAAGATCCACCATTCTTGCTTATACCCTTCCCCACTATGTGGCAGAAAGCCTAGACTACATAAGCCTTAATGAATGATGAGTGGATAGAGAAGGTGAGAAAGCAACGGCCCACCACTAATATCCTGCTTGGTAACTCAGGCACTAAGAAAGCTAGGAGGAACCCATAGAGTGAGTGAGATAAAGCACCGGACTTCTCTGCTCACCATTCACGCTTGCTACTCACATGAAACTAGTGATCCTCTTACTCCATCCCGTCATGTAGTATACTTTGTTCATATGGACAATGCCCGTGATCTGTTGAAGATGGAAGAAAACAAAACTCTAAAGCTCTCCAAGAGCTTGACTCTGGGCCTCAAGTGTCTTTCTCAATATACCAAACAAAAAGTCAGAACTCAGTGAGTTGTCAGAACTCACAATTGTCTCGAATTAAAATCGACAGGAAGGGGTGGGGAAATGGCTCAGTGGCACTGCACCTGCCTGGCAAGCAAGACAAAAACAAAACCGGCATGAATTTTTCAACATGCTTGCACACCCCATTATCTAATTTAATGGATCTAGACCATTGAATTTGATGATATTGTTTCCTGTCTTCAGTTTTTGCATAAGGACACAAAGACTCAGGCAGGCTTGAAGCCAGGCACTCTTGACCACGTCATGCAGCCTTTCAAGGGTGCACAATAGCATGGCCTAGGGTCCTGGGAGCTGTGACTTGCTTCTGGCTTGAGCTGGCAGAGCAGACTGACCTCTACTCTGTCGGGGTTGGGGAAAGTCAGCAGACACTCTCCAGTGTTGTAGTTCCACATCTTCATCGTGCCATCCAGCAAGCCCGTGAGCAGGCATCGCTCGTGCACGTCCAGGGCCATGGCGGTGAGCTCCACGAGCCGGGTCCCAGACACGCAGAACTCCATCATCCTCTTCCCTGTTGTGATCTCCCACACGCTCACCATGCCCTGCTGGCAGCCACTCACCACCTGTTGGGGAGCACACTGCTGGGCTGCTGGAGGCAACGACCTCCACTGCTCACAGCAGCCTCCAGCCTGACCAGGCCAGAGCCAGCCTGGCCCTGCACACCACACACTAAGAAAGCCTTTCCAGGGCTTTCCCGCAGCAGTACAAACCATGGCATAAAACAGGCCTTCCCCAGCTGTGTCGCAGAGCTGGCACTGCCCTTTTAGAAGAAATCAGTTTGCTAAAGTCCCTGTGAACTCAGTCAGAATCTATCCAAAGAAAATAACCCCTGCTTCAGAAAAGATGCTTGCTGCAACATCATTAATCATGCAAGGCGGGAGGGGGTAAACTCAGCCCACTCAGCAGGGAATGCAGAAGTGAAGGACTGTCATGCCACTCAGTGAAACACTCTGCTGCCACCACAGCTGTTACAATCAATGCAAGAGTAGCCCAGGAAGCTATTTCAAACCACCCATCTATTGAGAACATCCAGAAAAGCTATTTTAAAACAAAAGCTGCTTGACAGTATTGAAGAGCCCTAAGGCAGAGAGAGGTGCTGGGCAAGGCGCCAGGATGGGGAAAGGGAGGGTGAGCTCTGGCCTTGTGCAGCCAGTATTTGTGCAGCTGATGCAGCCCACCCTGTGCAGACCCCAGGCCAGGCAGGAGGTCCCACTGAGAGTGGGCAGAGGCCTTGGTAGCCCTGCCTTTGCTACTCAGAAATGATTCCATTACCACACCCACTTTGCTCACCCAGAGATCTCTACTCTGGCCCAGAGCACAGACCAGGCCTCCCTTGTTCTACATCAAACACAGCCCAGCTGTGGCTTCCTTCAATAGTAGTCCCTGGGACAGCACCCATGCTGGGAGGGGCAGGAAGTGCCCATGACTGGTGCTACATCTCACTTTGAGTAAGGAAGCTGCCTGTCCAGAAGGATCTGAGGCATCAGCCCAGGACATGAAGAGTTAGGGCCAGAAGATCCAGCAGCCAGCACTGGGAGCTGAGAGCTTCAGCCTGCAGAGCAGCCTCTGGCCCCGCACCTGCTGCGCCAGCACCACTACCACATGCCAACAACTCTCAGCCCCCACATTCAGACACAGGCGCACAGCAACTCTGGGTCCTGCCCTGTAACACCTGGCACTCCCGCCAGGCTCAGAGGCGAGCTTGCCACTCACCTGCTTGAAGATCTTGCTGTAGAGGACAGCGCACAGGGCTGAATTGTGAGTTGTGGTCTTCCCTGATTTCATAGGCCCATGAGCCTCTAAGTATCCTTTAAGGATGCCAACCTGCAGTGAGGAGAGGGACAGCCAGACAGCTAGGCAGCGGCTAAGACCCCTCTGCGACAGCCTATGGGGAGAAATTTCCAAAAACTGAAGATATCCTGGCTGCATCCACTTAGGTCCCCTACTTCTCAGGGGCCTGCTGCGACTCCCACCCTACTCACAGGACCCACTCATGGGATCAGACCTCCCAATCTTGGTGGTCCACCGCAGCTTATGACTTCAGAGTAGCTACATCCTCACTTCGGTGTTCCCTCCAGGAAGCCTCTCCTGACCAGCCTGGCCTCAGCCAGGCAAGGATCTCTTATGCTCCTGAGGTAGTCCCTAGCATCCAACACTTTCATGACACAGCACTCTCTGATAAACTACCTGGTTTTCTTCTGGGATAGTGTCTCAATATATTCTCAGCTCCACACAAAAAGCAAGATGTTCGATGACCTGCAATGAACTTGAAAATTCTGTCTGACAAGTGCCATCAGCCAGGATCTGGCATTCAGCAAAGATGTGGAGAAACCCACAACCTTCCTGCTCAATAAACTGCTGTCTGGGGGAGTCAGACAAGTACACAGGAGGACATCTGTGCCCCCTACCAGAGGGGCCTGGCCAGGAGAGAGAGTGAGGCTTTGGTGGAGCTCAGCCATAGAAGATGGCTGAGATCCTTTGCCTCTGCCCATTCTCTTTTCAGTGGAAACTCTCTGCCCCCAAGCTTGTGTGTGGTTGTGAGGGTTGCCAGAGACCCAAGCCCACTCTCTACCCCCTTGTAGCCCCTTGGACAGCCATCAGGGCACAGTTCCCACCACCACTCTAGCCAGTCTACCCTAGTCTCTCCTGTCCTCCAGGGCAGGACAGACCTCACACGGGCACCAGCAACACCCTCACTCACAAGCAGTTGTCCCAACAGTGTTCTCAAGGTTTCTCTTTCAAGAGCTGCTCAGGCATGGGCCCCAGCTCCTAGAGTTCATAACTTAGCAGGAAAGACAGCCCCATATCCTGACAGGGCCAAAGGGGCATGGAGGAAGATCTTGCTAGGAAAGGTGGGTTTCAAGACAGAGAGCCCCTCTCCCAGGCTTAGGGTGCAGGTGACAAGTGCACAGATGCAGCAGTGACAGATGATGGGCCAATCAGAACACACTCCCAGGAAGTTGCTAGGCCAGACCAGCAACTTTAGCAACCTCAGGTGGGACAGGCAATGACAGGCTCTTGGCTGTCCCATGAGACATCAGAGCCTGGCTATAGTGCCCCCTTGCTCAGGACAACACTTACAGAGTAGGTACTGCAGATGAGGGTATTGTCGTTGGTGTGGAAGTAGGCACTGGTGATGGGGTAGTTTCCCAGGGAAAACTGCTTTCCAGAGAAGGTCTGGAGGCACACGTAGTCCTGCAGGTCCCACACGCGGATGTTCTGGGAGTGGAAAATAGGTGAGAGGCCCCTCAGGCCCTGTGGAATCCCTGGGAGCAAGCACTTCTCATGCACACCCATGGCATTGGGTCTGACGGGATCACAACTGTGCAGCGCTTGTACAGCACAGGCACGTGGTGAAGGGCACAGCCACATGCTCCCAGGCCTCTACCCTACTTGAGCTATTAACTCCAGAGGCTGAAGGTGAAGACAGCAGGCAGCTTGTACCTCTGCCCCAGACCCTCACTTGTTCCCCCTCTGCCTCATACTAGAAAAGTCAGCCTAGGTCAAAGAGTAGCTACCTACAGAGGTGTCCAAATGGCCTGCTTTGTCCCAACATAGCCTGCTCTGCATTCATCTTGGGCTAAAAAAATGTTTCCCAGAGAAGCCCCCTATAGAAGGCCCTGCAGGACCCATGTGGCTCACAGGTACCACCAGCAAGCCAGACTTAGAGTGTGCCAGACCCAGTCCATCCTTTGCCTCTGCCCATCACTAACCTCACTGACCTCAAGGGCTTCAGCAAGCCCAGCCCTGTGCTTTCCCCTCCAGCCCAGATCCTTCATCAGCTCATAGGCTGAGGGGAGAATCCCAGGCAGCAGTGTACATGAGGAAGAGCAGCATACACACTGGGAAGGTGGCCCAGGGACCCCACGGCCCCTCACAATTCTCCATCTACTAGCATTAGTCCCAGAAAAACAAACCTGTCCATGGTGAGAGGACACCCAGAACTGTCAGCCAGCCCCATTGTAGCAGGGATGACCAGAGCAGCCAGCAGATGGGGCAGTATCGTGCTGCTCAGGAGCAAAGTGCTGGGCCCAAGCAGGGAAGCCTGGACTCCCAAGTAGCCGAAGAGGGCTCACTGGTAGACGCGAGAGGTGCAAATCGGGGGGCGGGGGGCACAGGGGAAGGGATCACAGGTATCGCACACCTACTATGAGGAGACACTGCTTCTACTACCTGTTTGTTCTCCTACAAACCATTCAGCAACTCAATTTATGGAAGAGAGACTGAGGCTCAGAGAAGGAAGGGACTTGGCCGGGGCCACAAAGTAATGTCAGGTGAGGATACACAGACCACAGCTTGACTAGACTGATCAGGGCTGGACTCAGGCCCCTCTGAGGGTTGCCAGAGACCCAAGCCCACATTCATGGTGGTTCTACCTTGGATGCCTTCCTCCAGGCCTCCGGCTTCGCGTGAAATAATGGGTAGGGAAGTTCCCTGGCCATAGTTCTGGGCCTCAGCCTCCTCCCATAATTGGGCCCCTGGGGCTGGCTGAGCCAGATTATTTCTCCAAATGTCAGTGCCATTCCCCCAAGGAACAGAACTAGTGGGGAGACCCAGTGGGGAAGGGCTTGCTCCATGAGTGTGGCACCTTGTCCCTGGAGATACTGATGAGGATGCTGCTGTTCTTGCTGTCCACGATGATGTGTGTCACTGAGGTCTGATGTCCCTTCATCAACCACACAGGCCTCTTTGAGATGAAGGGGTTCCACAAACGGATGTGGGAGTCATATCCACCAGTTGCTAGGGTCAATGAATGGTAATTAGCCATCAGGGGCCTACAGTGGGGACCTTGTTCCAAAGCCAGACCTTGATCCATCACTGTCCCTCTTCCCCATCCTCTCCACCACTGTTCCATGCACAGCCTATATCAGCAGTAATGAACCTATGGCATGCTTGCTGCCTTGGGCTGTAACCACTGAAAGCTCTAAAAGGTTCTCCATCACTGGCCTACAACATCATACCGCCCTCTGGTGCCCATGTGTGGGAACAAGCGTGGCAAGAAAGGCCACACAGATGTTCTTCCTGGGCTCCAATAGTCCCGAGTCCCCCATGACCCCCCACACCAGCTCAGCTAGGCCAGCAATATCTGGGGAACATAAAGACAACTTACCTAGGAAGTTCTTGTCTGCACAGTAATCAAAGCAAAGAATTCCTTTTTTTAAATTCAGCACTGAAAACCTACAACAGCAAAGGGGTAAGGGCCACTAGGAGCAATGGCCTAGGCTCGGAGGCTGGCCTGGGCCTGGAGAAGATGGAGGCAAGGATACCCAGGAGTCCTAGGAAGTCTCTACCTCTCCATCCAGAGAGAAACAACTTCAGAAATTGCTCACGGCTCATCCTGCAGCCAAGGCAGGGCCAAGCACTGCATGCCAAGTAGCAGCAGCTGCCCAAACCAGTAGCCCATGGAGGAGGCACCTGCTTCAGGTGAGCACAGAGCCAGAGCAGGAGCAGCTCATTACATATACAGACTTCTGCTTCATCCAAGAGCAGACACGCAATTTTCATATCAACTCTGCTGGGACAGGTATCCTCCCAGCTATACACAAATCAAGGAAAGGGGGGACTTCTGGGGGGAGTAGGGAGTCCCTGTGCTAGGTGCTCTCTCACAGGTCACTTGGATGTTCCCTGACATCGTGAAGAGTGCCATCTGTCCCAAGCTAGGGATGAGAACACTAAAAGAAGTTAAGGCACTGGCCCAAGGTCACACAACTAATCATTGGTGTGGTCAGTATTTGGCCCCAGGGTGGGTATAGCAAGAAGTGAGCATGGCTTAGCAATAAGCTACCCAAGAAAGGTGGCATGGCAGGGCTAGGGAAGGCTCAGAGGGTCACAGTGCTCTAGGCAGGAGTTTTAGGACCATTAGGGGCCTCACAGTGCCCCTGCTGCTGCTTCTCCTCCCAGCTTCATGCCTGCTGGCTCCTTTCTGCTTAAATTTCCTTCTGTTTTTTTGTTTTTTGTTTTTTGTTTTGTTTTGTTTTGTTTTTGCAGAACCAGGGATTGAACTCAGACCCTTACGCTTACCAGGAAAGCACTTATTCTACTGAGCCATCTCCCTGGCCCCATTAATTTTCCTCCTGAATTTGATGTAAAGGGCCTGTCATAGGACACTCCTACCCTCTAAACCAGCTCACCCTGAACTGAACCGACCCACACGGGTGTCATTCTGGGGATACAGCAGCTATCATCATCCGCTAGGGCAGTTCCCTCTCGCCCACTGTTCCTCATGCAGCAGCCGCTGCCTAGCTCAGCCCTCTTCACTTCTGAACCAGCCCCAGATGATTTCTTAACCTCCAGTCTTGCTCCTCCTCAGGTCTCTGGATGCCACAGCCTGAAGAAATCTCTAAAAATCAAAGCTTCAAGAAGAGCCTACTTTAAAAAAAAAGAGAGAGCGAGCCTACTTTTTTTTTTTATTTTCAAAGCAAATATACCTCCCTCTGTGCATTTACATGCAAATATTCTGGAAGAATAGGCACCAAAAGTCAGCAGGACTAATTTCAGCCGATTCACCCACTCATGCACTCGTTGGCCCCTACTCCCTGCCAGGATCCCAGTGGCATCATGGCGGTGGCCTGCCCTGCGGAGCTTTCCTTCTAGAATGAAAGGCAGAAGCTCTCAAACTGTGTACCTGCAATCCACCTGTCCCCACCTGCTGACCAGCCCAGGCCACCATCACAAGGTGAATTACTGCAGGGACCTCCTCACCGCTGTTGCCAAAACCCTTCCTCCTTATGGATTTGTAAGACTTTAGTCAGACCATACTTCCTCTGCTCAAAACCATCCCAGTATGTTACCTACATCTGCTTCCAAATAATGGCAGAAGATATTTTGAGACACCTGGGACACTATTAACTTGAACTAGGTACTAAATGACCTGTACACACACCTGTAATTCCAGCTCTTGGAAGGCTGTAAACAGGCAGATCACTAGGAGTCTGATCTAGTAGTGAGACCCTGAACACCCTGTAGACCCTTCCCTAAAATATAAAATTTTAAAAAAAGCAAAAAAAGAAACGAGGACTTCCAGGAAGGTGATACAGTGGTGAGCAGCAGAGACAGAGCCTCTCTGAGACTTAACACCCAGAATATAGCGATGTGAAGAAGAAAAGGCAAGAGCCCAGGCAGGACCTGAAGCAAGAACGAAAGCCCACAGGGAGAACCAAGAGGAGGAGGGTGGCACTTTCTCCTGAGCCTGGGCTCTGTTTGGGAAGAAGAGCTTGAAACTGCAGGCACATAGTGACCGCTGGAGACCCCAGAGGCTGCAGCAGAGAAGTGTATCAGTGCAGCAGAGCAGTGGGCACAGCAGACTGCACTGGTTGATAAGTTGTCCCATTCAGACATCCCGCAGGAGGACACTGGGCCAGGAGTCATCTTGGAGCGAGACCAATGGAACTCAGGCCTTCCAGCCACTGCTGGCTTCACCTAGAGGCTCCCAGCTGTATTCAGGTCCATCCTCGGCTGAGGGAACTGCAGCATGCAGGGCAGGGCAGGGCAGGGTCCAGCCTCACAGCCGGAGCCAGCGGGCACTTCAGTGGAAATGCAGGTGCGTGCTCACGTGGACCAGCCTCCACCCGCGGTGGAGCCACTGCTGGCTTGTGGGACTGACAGATGTGAATCTGGACTCAGTCTGCACATAGTGTGTAACACCAGGAGCAGAGGCATACCTTAAAATGGACTTTTTTTTTTTCTTATTTTCTCTCTCTTGTTTTTGTTTGTTTGGGTTTTTCTGTTTTGTTTTCTTCTTCAGTTTGTTCTGTTCTTGCTCTTATATGAGTGTGAACATGGTTTCCAGATTTTTGTTGTTGTTGCTGCTGTTCTGTTCTGTTGTTGTTTTTATTTCCTCCTCTCTTTCCCTCCTGTCTTTTTTACCAGTTTCCCCAACTTGGCATGCTCCTCCTTTGTCCTCCAGCCTTGCTTTTAATCTCTTCCTTTTCTTCTATTTCTCTGTTTTCCACCTAATCCCTTTTAAATTTTCTCCCCAAAGACCAAAATTGCCATATTGAGGGTACATTTACTACATACAATTTTCTAGTTTCCTACTTTGTTATATAACCACAAATCTAGTTCATATGATTAAAGCTGGCAAATCCATAGTTACCAGTGTTTGTCATTTTCTAGGCTGTGTTGGATGCTATGGTTACTGCTGATCATACCACTTTAACCAAAGTTATATCTGTTCTAACCAGTTGTTCTTCCTGGTAACCAAGAGCATGCTACAGGCCAGTGCCAAGGAACCAGGAGCAGGGCCAAAAGGACAGCAACTTCTCATCAAAGCTACTGTGATTAAAAACAGCATGGTACTGGCAAAACAACTGACCCAAAGATTAATGGAACAGATTAAAAATGCATAAACAACACCTTTTCTATGAGACAGGGTTTTGCTATGCAGTTTAGGCTGGCTTTGAACTAACTTTGTAGCCCAGGCTGGCCTCAAACTCACACCAATCCTTCTGCCTCAGCCTCCTAAGTGCTGGGATTATAGGTGTACAGCACCACACCCAGCCATGGCCAGTTTTTTTGTTGTTGTTGTTTTTTGTTTTGTTGTTGTTGTTGTTGTTGCATCAGGGAATCAACTTAGGACCTTGTACTTGCCAAGCAGGCACTTTAGCCACTGAGCCCCATCCCAGCCACTTATTTTTTATAAAGGTACCAAATACATTCACTAAAAGCCTGTTTAGTAAATGGTCAGCGCTGAAAAAACTGACTTTTCACATGCTGAAGATTAAAACTAGAACCATATCTTTCACCATGCACTAAACTAAAATCAAAATGGATCAAAGATCTTAATGTTAAAACAGAAACACTAAATCTGCTAGAAGACAGAATAGGTAGAATTCTTTAAAATATTGGTGTAGGGGCTGGGGAGATGGCTCAGTGGAATAAGCGCTTCCCTGGCAAGCGCAAGGGCCTGAGTTCAATACCCAGTTCTGCCAAAAAAAAAAATAAATAAAATAACATATTGGTGTAGGCAAAGATTTCCCAATCATACAGGAACTATTACAAAGAATCAATAACTGGGATCTCATTTTATTAAAAATATTTTGGGGCTGGGGAGATGGCTCAGTGGAATAAGCGCTTCCCTGGCAAGCGCAAGGTCCTGAGTTCAATCCCTAGTTCTGCCAAAAAAAAAAAAAAAAAAAAAATATTTGGCACAGCAAGAGAAATCAACAACAAAAGTGAAGACCGGGGTTCAATCCCCCCAGCATGCACTGAGACTACAACTGAGACTGGGCCTGGTGGTGTATATCTATAATTCCAGTGCTTGAGAGACTGAAAACAGGAGGATCACTACAAGTCCAATCTGTGTAGTGAGACCCTATAGACCCTGTACTAAATACATTAAAAAAAAAAAAATGAGTAAAGATACAACCCATAGTGTGGAATAAAATGTTTGCCAGCTGTTCTCAGACAAAGGACTAACATCTAGAATATATAAAGAACTCAAAAAAATCAGACCCCCAAAATTTAAATACTCAATCAAAAAATGGGCATCTGAGATGAATACATGTTTCTCAGATGAAGATATAAAAATAGCAAATAAATACTTGAAAAAAATGTTCAAGATCACTTGTCATTCAAGAGATGCAAATTAAAACAACACTGAGACTCCATCTCACTCCAGAAAGAATGGCTGCTATCAAGAAATCAACCAATAACTAATGCTGGTGGGGCTATCGAGAAAAAGAAACACTTTTCATCTGTTGGTGGGAGTGTAGACTGGTGCAATCACTGTGGAAATCAGTGTGGGGATTCCTCAAAAAAGTAGGACTAGAGGTTTCATTCAACCCAGCTATTCCCATTCTGGGTATCTTCCCCAAAAATTTAAAACTATTATACCACAGCAATATATGCACATCCATGTTTATAGCGGCAGGGGGTTTTTTTGTTTTGTTTTTTGTTTTTTGGGTTTTGTGGGGGTTTTTTGTTTTGTTTTTGTTTCTTGTTTTTGTTTTTGCAGAACTGAGGATTGAACTCAGGCCCTTGAGCTTGCCAGGCAAACAGTTATTCTACTGAGCTATCTCTCCCGCCCCAGCAGCACAGTTTGTAATAGCCAAATCTTGAAACAACCCACTGGTGAATGGACAAAGAAGATGTGAAGGTTTTTGTTTTGTTTTGTTTTGTTGTTTATATATATAATGGAGTACCACTCTGTCATAAATAAGGATAAACTTGAGACATTCCTAAGTAAATAGATGCACTTTGAGACCATGCACTCTTAAGTGAAATAAGTTAGACACACATGTATAAAGACCACATTGTTTCTGCAGTGTGAGAAACTAAACATGTAAATAAGGACCAAAATGTATAGTTGATATTGTGAAATAGGAAAAAAATGTTCTAATGATAAAGGGAACTAGGCAGGTCCACAGGGGAAAAAGAAATTTAAAAAAGGAAAAAAATGATGAAAAAGAAGGAAAACATGAGACTGGGTGTGGTGGCATGTGCTTGTAATCCCAGTGCTTGTAATTCCAGTGCTTGTAATCCCAGTGCTTGGGAGGCTGAAAAAACAGGAGGATCACTACGAGTCCAATCTACGTAGTGCGACCCTATAAGCCCCATTCCAAATACCGAAAAAAAAAAGGAAAACATATGGGCTGGCGAGATAGTTCAGTGGACTAACTGCCTGCTTAGGCAAGCTCAGGAACCAGGGTTCAATCCCCACCACTGTCTGCTGCATCAGCCCGTCCCCAGGCGCACTGAGCTGGCCACCGAAAACAAGAGGACCACTGTGAGTCTGAGCTCTGTAATGAGACCATGTACCAAATACATATTTTTAAAAACGGAGGAAAACATAGAAACAATTTTTTTTAAATAAGGAGGGGAAAAATAAAAATAAAAATAAAAATAAGGAGGGGAAGAAGACTTGAAGGGAAGATAGGGGAATGGGAAAAAAAAATCAAGTTATATCATGTACAGACACAGATTTCTTAGAATGAATGTGATCACTACAGGATCATACCTAAAATGTACCAAGAATCTTAATTTAAAATAAAATTAAATTAAAAATTAAACCATTCTCCAGCATATAGAATCCAAAAATAATAACAGAAAGGAGACTATCAGACAAGAGGAAAAGAGTAAGGGTGAGATTGAGTGTCCAGGTGGGTAACGGAGGGATGAATATATTATATGCACTGAAACAAACAAGGTAAATGAAACTGGGGGGGGTGGGGCAAGACAGGCAAGGAGGGGAGTGATCAGTATGTTATGTGCATGTATGAATGTGTCAAAGCAAAACCTACTAATCTGTATAATTAATATGCACTAATAAAAAATTGGCCTTCACATAAAACAAACAAATAAACAGAAATTCACCAAAAAAAAAAAAAAAAAAAAAAAAAAAAGGAAAGAAAGAAAGAAAACAAGAGCCGTAGGCAGAAAAGAGTACTACAAGGAGTCAGGCAAGACTGCCTGAATCTCAAAGGACCAATGTAGCTGGAGGAGAAAGAGGTGAGATCAGGAAGGAGCAGGGACAGCCCTTGGAGCCCTCATGCCATGGAAAGGGGACCCTGACATCCCTCAACAATGGGGATCAAATAAGACAAGAAGCTGAGTATAACACACACCACAGGCAACACAGAGACAACCTCAGCAAACCAGCTCCAACCAAAGCCCTGCTGCACTGTGTTGTTCAAGCAGTGGATCTGGGACTAGACTCCCTGCCATGCCAGATGTTCTCTGAAGTCCTCTTCCACCTGCAGATGTTCCCAGGACCACGATGAGCCTGAGAATGAGTAGAGCACTTCTGGGCCAAAAGGTGCTAACAAGACCGACCCCCAGGTCTGAGATAAAGCCCCAATCAAAGGCTTGATGATATTTACTTCCTCTCCCTAAGGTTCAAGTTCCTATCTATAAAATAAAGAGTTGGACTCAACCAAATGCTCTCCAACACAAGCTTCCAATTTCCTGTTGCTCTCCAAAAAGAAACCTAGGCATAAGAGAAGAGTCAGAGGAACATAGCTGACAGGCACCTCCAGAGAAAACAACAGAGGAGAGACTTTTGTTTACATGGTAAGGCTATGATGTTTTAATTTCTGCTTGGACATGCACTGAACCTGTTCTGTGTGACAAATAATTGATTTATTGGAGAAAAGGTCTCACTTGTATATCTTAGACTGGCTTTGAACTTGCTATGTAGCCAAGGCTGGCCACAGATTCAAAATCCCCCTGTTTCAGCCTCCTGAGTAATGTGATTACATGTATGTATCACCATACCCAGCTCTTATAAAAAGAAGCAAAAAAAGATGGGTTTGGGGTATTTTAAAAAAAAATGCTCTACTACTGAGCATTTTTTTTAGTGTATACAAGGTCTTGGGTTCCATTTCCAGTACTACAAATAATTTTTAAAGAAAAGTAATTACAGGGCTGGTGAGATGGCTCAGTGGTCTAAAGCAGCTACTTAGAACAAGCTTAGCAATGCACAGGGACTGCGGTTCAATCCCCCAGCACCACATTCCAGCCAGCCCC